CTAAATGTGAGTTTTTATACCAACTATCCAATGATTGTACGTACAAGTCTGTAGCTTGAAAAGTATAGAAGTTATTACAATTGTTTATAAGTAAAAAACATCTCTTTTTTAAACGTTTATTTTGTAAATAATTTCGATGAAAACGCAATATGCATTTAACTTCTGAGATAGTTTAGATCATAGATAAATAATATAATAGTGTTTAGGTCTTAAATAATCCTATGGCATTTGCTAAATGTGTCTAGAATCATTAATAGAGCAAGTTCGATAGTTTAAATATTTAGCCTCACGGATAAATAAATTAAATATCTTTTAAATTATTTGACCGATCGGGGGGGAAATTTCGCACAAATTTAAAAGATGATTATTACTAGATGTTCAGATGTATTAATAACATATTATTTTCATATTAATAAAAAAATTAATAAAATTTATAATTAAGTAAAAAAACTGCCTTTTTGCAAATATCGAGAATGAGCTCCTAAAAGAGAACGGTAATGGTTTAAAGATTATCATCCTATTGTTTCTAATTTTGTTGCAAATACCGGAATGACCAGTTGTATCTCAGGAACCACTACTCGTAATTTAACTTTTTTTTCTTTTAAAAGAAACGTCTTGTCAAGTATTTTCTATCGCCGGATTGCAAATTTAATTTAAACTAATAGTTACCAAGATATTCTATTTTTTATAAGATAAAAACTTGTTTGAAATTTTAAAAAATTACTGAGGCCGCCCAAATAATCCGGTTTCAATTCTATAAATAGTTCAGATGGTATCTGTTTTGAGTTGGGTGTGAAGCATATAATCGGAGTTTTTTGTATAAATCGCTTCAAAATATCACTATGAATGATAATTTCACTATCCGCGAGATTGTAAAATGTGGGCTTAACTTTTTATTAAACAAAATATGAAAAAAAATTAAAAAATTCGATATTTTTCCTCATTTTTTTCGCATATATCTGAAGAATTATTAGTTTTAGAAAAATTTTGTATAAAACATAAGAGTTTTGTAATTAAATCATGAATGTGTTGCTTGTGTGAGTCCATTTCAAATAGGTAAAAGACATAATAAATAAGAATTACTCACAATCAGTTTAATTTAACTATCTAGACGACCGGTTTCGCTTTCTACAATTTGCAAAGCATCTTCAGGTCTGTCGATACAAAGTTAATTAAGTGCTGAAATAATAAAACCCATATTAGGGTGTTGTCTTATAAAGATAAACAAAAGATAAAATAATATAAACTACAGTAACTATGCCAATATTACATGTCTGTGGCTTTTTTTAAAAATGAATAAACTGTTTAAGCAGACAAAATCTGTTTTTGAGTTCATTTCGAAACATTTTCAACACAAAGTTTGATTTACACTTTCATGCTCCGATTTTTGATTCTTGTAGAAAATGCGATTTATTCGAAAGACAAATACAAACCAACGAAAACAACTTGCAAAGAAAATAAGAGCTACAAATTCAAAAAGAGCTTCACCTGAGAAAAGCAGAACAGCTAAAAGAATCAATGGTACAAGATTTTAAACTTACAACAGATAAGGACAACACCACTGTTTTTGCCTTTGATTTGATCAAGACACTGCCCACCCCGTATTATTGTCACTTAGAACATATTGTAAAACGCAATTGTGAACGTATTGTCTGGGCGTCCACAATCTACAGTCTGGAGAAGTTAAGATGTATGGAGGGAATGAAACCGTTGCGTCTAGAGGAGCTCAGGAAGTCGGCTCCTGTCTTATCCATTATATTAAAAATTATGTTAGAAGCAAGAAAGTAATCATGTATTCCGATAGCTGCAGTGGTTAAAATAGAAATATTAAAATGGCTTTACTGTGTACTCATGCTGCAATCGGATGACTTTCTAGTTGAAGAAATAAAGCATAACTTTTTGGTTAGTGGACATTCCTTTATGTAATGTGACCGTGACTTCGGTCTAATCGAGAAAAATAAAAAATATCACCCCAATATGTTTAATCCTAAATATTGGATCAATATAATTTCCACGGCGAGAAGAAGAAATCCTTTTCATGTAATAGAAATAGTAATGGGGTCCGAAAATTTCTTTTCAACTGCTAATTTGTAAAAAAATACTACACATAGGAAAGGCGGATGTAACGAAAGTCGAGTGGTTAAAAATTCACAGCATTAGTTTAAAAAAAGATGATCCGTGTATTATTTATTTTAAATATGGTGTAAGTGATCTTCATCAACTTTAAAAATTTAATATTGAAAAAAGGAATATACCAAAGGATCGTTTGAAGGATAAATTACCAATTTTCTATCTAGATGGAAATGTTATATCTCCACCAAAATAAAGACCTGTTGCAATTGGCCGAGTTTTTTCCACCGATCTATCATGACTTTTATAGATCTCAAATGCTCCGATACTGTTCAGGACGAAATTTCACTGCGAGGAGATGATTTGGACTAAATTTATATACTTTTGTATTTTTACGTAACTAACAATAAAGCTATTCTACAGTTATACTTACTTACTTACTCCGTGGCGTTACAACCCTTCATGGGTTTTAGCCGACTCGACAACACGCCCCCACTGTTTTCTGTCTTGAGCAACCTCCATCCAATTCTCCACGCCCGTAGCGCTTAGGTCTCCTGCTACATTATCTCGCCACCGGAGACGAGGGCGTCCGCGTGGTCTCCTTCCAGTTGGGACTTCCTCCCACACCAGTCTTACTCTTCATTCGACAGAATGTCTTCTAAGGTGTCCTGCCCATTGGAGTCTTCTGGACTTCATTTCTTTTATGATGTTGGCGTCTGGATAAAGTTCTTCGAGCTCTCTGTTAGTTCTTATCCTATATTGTCCTGATGCTTCATCCAGCACAGAACCAAAGATCTTCCTTAGGATTTTTCTTTCCCAACGATATTGTTATTGTCCACGTTTCGCTTCCATACATCACAACGGGTCGTATGATTGTTTTATAGGCTTGTATCTTCGTACATTGTGTTAGTTGTTTTGATTTTATAAGGTTTTGGAGGGCAAAAAGACATCTGTTTCCGGCCTGAATCCTGTTGTTTATTTCTTGTGATCCGTTATTGTCTTCAGTTATTGTTGCTGCAAGATACTTGAATTCTCTAACGCGCTCAAAGTTAAAGTCATCGATGGCGATGTTCTGACCGATTCTGTCTCTGCTTTGGTTATTGCGGCTCATATACATATATTTCGTCTTGTTTTCATTGATTTGGAGCCCCATCTTCTCTGCTTCCTTCTCGAACCTCACGAAAGTCTCCTTCATCCTTAATCGTGTGTTTCCTATTAGATCGGTATCGTCTGCAAATGCCAGTAGTAATTTTGGTCCTTCTCGATGAAATACTGTATTAGGTTTTTCGATTCTTGCACTTCTGATTATGTGCTCCAGAGCTAAGTTAAAAAGTTGTGATGAAAGTGCATCTCCCTGTTTTAGTCCATTGTTTATTTCAAATGTCTCCGAGTAATGTTGTCCAACTCTCACCTTACATCGTAACCGTTCCATACACATCCGTATCAACCTGACTAGTTTTTTTGGAAAGCCAAGTTCCTGCATCGCTGTCCACAGTCTGTCCCTGCATACTGTATCAAATGCTTGTTTAAAATCTATGAACATCTGATGAAGCTTACGATCAAACTCTCAGCATTTTTCCATTATCTGTTTTATTGTGAATATCTGGTCAATAGTAGAGCGGCCCGGTCTAAATCCGCATTGATAATCTCCAACGATTTCTTCTGTGTATGTTTTGATTCTTTCTAACAGGATTTTTGCAAGGATTTTATAGGTGGTGTTTAGAAGAGTTATTCCCCTGTAGTTAATACATTGCTTTTTGTTTCCTTTTTTGTGTATTGGTACAATAACCCTTTCTTTCCATTTATCTGGCAATATTTCTTCTCGCCAAATGTCTTGAATTAGCTTGTATATAGAACTGTACAGCGCTTCACCTCCATGTATTAAGCATTCTGCGGGTATACCATCGCTACCTGGTGTCTTATTATTTTTATGTTTTTTATAATCCTCTATTACTTTTTCGTATGTCGGGTATTGGTCTTCTAATTCAGCTGTATGTACCTCTATGTTTGATGTATTTCTGCTAGATTGGTCATTCAATAGTTGATACAAGTATTTCTTCTAGGTTTTTAGGATTTCCTTGTCATCCGTGATAAGCTATCCACTGTCGTTTTGAAGAAAGTTTCCACATTTATGTCTATTCCACAGTTATGTCTCTTTTTAATAGGACTATTCTACATGCATGGAAGATTTTGTAAATACCAAAGCGGATTAACCCACATTATTTTTGTAAATTACAAAAAAAAAATACATTTTCTTGGGCAATTCGTTACAAAATACCCACTAATATTGCCAGTGTTTTATACTAAAAACATTTAACACTGATATGTAAGCCACAAAATTTTCTTTAAAATACCAGTTTTTGTTATTCTCAGTTTTCTCCATTTAATGTTTCAACAGTATGGTCCGCTCTGGTTCTCAACGCCTGAATTTTAATTAAAAAAATAGATATTGCAAAATTATTATGCGAAATCTATTGTAAAGATTTTAATGAAATTTTGTGGACTATTTTATTATGCTATAAAGATTTTCTCGACGAATTATGAAGGTCCTAACAACAATCTGAATGGTTGAAAAAGATTGAATAAAAAAGGCTTGGTCTCCATTTTTTTGTATATTACCACTCTGCTACCAAATGAATCGTTATTAGCAAGAAAAAAAGATGACCATTTTTAAATATTTTAATTTTTTTATTACTATTCCCTACCTATTTTAGGGGGAGGGAAAGTCAATAATTATTGTCATATATTACACAAATTTTTATGCAAAAAACACAATGTTACCTCTCACATCCACCTCAAAACAGATTCCCCTGGTCTAAATTGGGAGTTGTGAATTGAATCAACTTTTATACTTTTGTTATGGATGTTTGCTATCGATTTAAGAATCAATTAATTCGTAATTATTTTGTATAAATTAATAGAATTTGTAGTTCGATAACAAGGAGTACACAGGCTTTGATTTAAGAAAAGATGGAAAATCAGCACACGAAGAAAGTGGAAAATATGCCACTGATCTGTTCACAGATTATACAGTAAAGACTATTATGGAACAGGACAGTTCCAAGCCCTTCTTTATTATGTTGGCACATTTGGCCGTGCATGCTGGTAATGATGGAAAGCTCCTCGAAGCACCTCAAGAGACTATCAACAAATTTAGTTACATTGTAGATTCCAATAGACGGACTTATGCAGGTAAGTTGAAATATTATATTGTCAAAAATTTGCTGTAGCCTTGTCTAATATTGAATAAGATAAAAAAATAACTTTTTAGTTACTGTTAAGTCAGTAGTATATGGTTTATACCATGTTTTTACAATTTATTTGATCTTATCTACACTAGAGCTTACCTTCACAAAAAAAAAATATTTTAATACCATATCTCAGGGCTCTTTTACTATTTCGTCGGTCGAGTTTTATAATGTTCTATTAGCATATTTTACAGTTTGGCAGGAAAAACAATTTAAAAAAATGGTCACTGTATTTTTATTCTGAGACGCTTTGGTTATAGAAATTTTTATTTTTTATATGTATAATAAAGTAATAAAGAGTTATTTATAACATTTTATTTAATTTTTTTTATTTAACAAAAAAAGGTATTTTGAGAAAAATTATAAAATGTTGATAGAACATTATGATTCTATTGAAACATCAACTTTTACAAAAATGTAACCACATTGTTCTAACTAACAACATCGTGTCGTGTAATATTCTAATAAACCTATAAATTAAGGAAAACATTTAAAGTAAACAAAAGACACACGTTTCTAAATAATTTTTTACAACAATTTGGCTAAATTTACTACTTCTTTGGAATTTTGGAAGAATTGCATTTTGCTGTTGAGAGCATTTCGTTGTCTAAATTTTCATTAGTTAGACGACCTTTCTTTTGTTTGGATAACTGCGCAGCAAAAACTTTCGCGTCATTATATTGCTTAAAAAAAGTTGATATGAACTGGGAGTCCACAGGCGGCAAAAACTTAAAAAGTTTTTTTAAATGCAGTACCTTATCAAAAGGTAGTAAGCATTCCCTGGGTTCATCACAAGTTTTTATTGATGGCAAAGATATTGAAGTGGGGGTTAGACAAGATCCATTTGTTTTTCGTACTGGAGGCTTGCATGTAATTGTAACTTCAGTGAAGGGTCCATCATGCTGGTATTTCAGCTCAATATAATGTATTCTGGAAGAAGAATATTTCAACTGCTTTACAGAAGCAAAAGGTATATTTTTAAAATTAAGCATTTGAGCGGCTTTTTCAAAATTTTTAAAATTATCTGGTCTCATATAAAAAACTTTAAAAGGGTTTTTCCTATTTACTGTAGGCAGCAATCTTAAAAGACCCAATGGGCTGAATATTTCCAACTTTCCAAGTTGTCGCTCAATCTGGCTATGTATATTATCTATTTCCTGGACCGAACTATGTCCAGGTTCACAAAACTTTTGGATTATGGTTTCAATATTTGGATGCTCTTCTAGGAATTTAAGCAAAGCCATGCTCATTACAGAATTTCTATTCTGTGGTACACATGAGTCAGACCATAAAATAAATCGTTTGATATTAGGAATATCTATTAATACATTATCCAAAATACGAATAAGTGCGGATCAATACCTTTGCGACCGTGAGTACCCTCACACCATATCGCACAATAAGCCCGCTTATTAATATTACAATGAGCTGTTAAATTGTATGTATTTAGCTTTTTGGAATAAAAGAAGGAAGAAATGTTGGCTCGTGGCAAAGCAAATACATTTTCCATATCAAAACAAATTATTGCAGTTTCTTCATTGGTACTTCTTCGATCGATATTACGTTCTGCCATAGCAGCTTCCTTAGATGAAACATGTTTATCAAAAGAGGATTTCTCATGCTCACTAAGACCTATTTTACTCTTTATTAGATACTCTTCACACTTATCGCATCGATCTTTTTTTGGTTTTTGAAATTCAATATTAAATTCATAATTGAAAATTTGTCGATAATGGTGCAGTTTTACAGGTTCTAGATTTCTTTCAGTACAAAATTCTTGATACAAATCATATAACTTTTGCACATTCAACGAAGATTCAAAATATTCCTTATTCGAATCTCTCCGGCAATAATGAGAATCTATTCTTGGAATAGATCTGATATGATCTCTCACAGAATCTTTTTGAAACTCAGTTGTAACTTTTTTTGCATGCTTTCCCTGTCGTACTTCTAATGGAACCCCTGTTTGCTGCTCCCGCTTATTTTTATGAAAATATTCGACGCGTCTCTGGCTTATATCTAGTGTGGACAGAAAAAATGGCTTACATACTCTAATTTTGTTTTCTAGTATGTGAAAAAAATAGGCAAAAGAAAAGATCCGTCTCGATTTATTTTTAGTTTGAGGTCGCCTCTTTGAATATCGCTCCGTATTATGATTATAAAAATGCAATTTTTCGTTATTTGATAAGCTCCAAAATGAATTATGAATTGCTTGGCGATCATTGATACTAATTTTTTTTGCACACAAAAATTTGCAACTTTTTTCACAGTTCTTATAAGTTTTTACTTCCCTAGCTCTGCGAACTATACTCTTTACATTTTGATATGCTTGGCCACTTTGGCATAACTTTTTGTTGATATTTCGGCTCCAAGCATCTGGATTGCGTGACCGTTTTCTTGTTAGCTTTTTACCTTCATTAGGCTCATTTACATCCACCGTATCTGCAGTAACATGAATGCTCGAAACGTTTTTATCTTTGACTGCAAGACTTGCTTCTTCATTTCCACTAAAAGAATGGTGGAAGCCCTCTTCTTCTGCTGACAAAAAGTCTGGATCTGCATCAGAATCGTCACTCACATGTAAGGGATCTAGCTCTGTATCACTAAAATAAAAATAAATTCTACTGCAACACTGATATTACAAAAATAATAAAATAAAGAATCAATGACGTTAACTTTTTGGTTTACCCCGGTATATGCATATATTCTAGTTTTTATTTAAAATATAGAAAAGCCGACACCATTTTTTTAACTGTAAAAATAAAGAAAGTACAATGGGGCTTTTGAATATATCCTTTAAAGAAAAAATCATAGGTTAGACACTATTTTTTTATTAAAAAACTAAAAACATACAAAGAATACTTTTTGTATCACTCTGTATATGCAAAAATAGTTTAAACAAAACAGATAATATACAACGTTAAATTTATATGCGAATCGTTTTTTCAAATTTAAAAAATTACCAATATCTGCTGTACATACTTATTGCATGAAAATGTATTTTGAGGTTATATACATCAAAGTTAAATATTTCATTGTTTAGGAACTATATTTATATTCAAATAGAATGAAAAACTCATTTATACATACCTTAATTCAACGCCTTCCATTTTTACAGAATTAACTTTACAAAAACAACTTAATCAGGCTAAGTTCATTATCTTCGACACACAAACACAACGTGGTTCTTAGACGAAATTATAATGTTCTAACAGCAGAAATACCTGATTGCTATTGGTCGCATCTGATAGAACATTATAGTATTAAGCTATTTTTAAATTTGTCATTTAGAACAATTTAATATTGACTAAATCTAACGATACGATCAAATATTTATGCAGGAGTCGATTTTAATAGAACAATATGGCATCCCTTAAGCAAATTCTGTACATATCTCGATTTTCACCAAAAGTGCTGATAGAACATTATAACACTCGACCGACGATTTAACAAAAAACATGGCTTCAAATTTTTTTTATAGTTGCCCTTGAGGGAAGAGTAGAGAATAGGAAAATAAATGTACAAAAAAAAAACTATGAAATTATAAAGCAACTGTTATATTTTTTCAAAATAAATCAAGTATTAGAATTTTAGAAGATCAAATAAAAATATACTATACACAATAAGGTAATTCAGGGTGATATGGTAAATCGGATGAACTGGTGAAATGTTCTATTTCTTTTCGCGGTACACTTGTCTCTGTAAATCTAAATGTCTACCTTGTACATGTTTATACCGTGCTATTCATCATTTGATGTAAATGGTAGAAATGGTGAACTCGCAAGGGCGATATGGTGAAGGCCTTTTCAAACGTGTATACCTATTTCTAGCGCGCTATTTCAAATTCGGATAAGTCCAATTTTTTTGACTGGTTCGGTTCCATTTGGTTTGGTTTGCCAGTGATTAAAAAAAAAACAAACTGTACTCGTATTTCTCGGTAAAAGTAAAACTTCTATCATCACTGTTTCAGGCAGAGATGTTTACGTTTAATAAAAGGTAAAGAGGATCTGTGAAACCATGTCTGTAATCACTTGCTGTAATTGGGAGTGCTGTATGTTTTAATCTCTAGCATGCGTTTTGATGGAAAAAAATGAAAAAGCCGAGTATAAGGACGGTATGCCGCCTGGATCCATAATTTTTATGTCACAAAAGTTGGCGTACGTAACAACTGACATTTTTCTTTTGTGGCTAAGGAACTATTTTGCACCGAAAAAGTCTGAGGGAATAGTCGTGCTCATTTTGAGTGGATATATCCCATTGCAACAGTGTGGATTCATTAGAGTTTGCAGAGGAAAATAACATAGTTTTGCTCTGTCAATCCAGTCACATAGACAGAGTGTTTTTAAGCTTTAAAATCCTCTTATTACAATTCTTGTAATTCCTTCATTAAAATGAATCAAAATCAAAAATATTTCGAGACTAGTGTTTGGAGGACTGCTTACAAAGGCATGGATACAAGCAGCTACGACGGATAACGAAATATTGGGATTCAGAAGTACAAAAATCGTACCATTTAATCCTGATGCTATCCCCGAATATTTCTTTTTAACATCAAATTCAGATCAACAGAAAAACAACGAGCGACATAAAAATACTTCACCTTAACTTAGTTGTCCGCACTGGCAGGAAACCACAAATTCCTCAGAAAATCCAACAGCAGAAATAGATAAAGATCAGGAACATAAACGCAGGCAAACTTCATTACAACTGGGCTGTGCGGAAAATCCACATGAAATCATGTATTCTTTATCAGGAGCACCAGATCTGACTTAAAAGATTAGACTTTAACAATGAAAATGCCACAGTGAGTGGTTAATGAAAGTGATAAATTTTATTGATCTCATGAGAATGATAAAAATGGCAAAAATTGCGCAACGTTTTTTCATGTAACACCTTTATAAAAACTGACTTTATTTGTAGCAAAATACTAAATTTTTATACCAAAGCTACACTTCTCACCTTTAAAATACATTGCCATCTTTGTCGATAGGATACCCTGATCAAAAGATATCTAATTTTTACCGTCATGTTGATACAAATTTAAAATTGATTTTACCCTCTCAACCATCACTTAAAATCGCCGGTCGCTTCAAGCTTTATTTCTAAGAGAACAGACCATTTCATATAACAAATGATTATAAACATTTTTGTTCAAAATTATTTAGGCTAAATTTTTTATTTGAAACATTTTTCCTGCAGCGTACAGATTATTAGTAAATAAATTTTTTCCGTTTCCCCCTACGAGGGGAAGTTTTATGGGGAAGCCGGTTAGAAGGAGTGGTAAATTTTTTGTATATTTTTTGGGGTCCCAAAATGGACACTTTCAGCAAAATTCAGCTTGTTCTTATGGTTTTGAGAGGTTCAGATGCATTTTTGTCTCCGACGCCTGAAGTGTATTTCTCCTTTGGAAACTTTTTTATCTCATCTTCATAGAATTATTTTGAAAATAAGTTATAATAAATTATCAATAAATTACTATTAAACTGGGAATAAGCCACAATTAAAGATAAAAATACGTTTATTGACGTTTCAATTTCCACTTCGAAATTCGTTCTCAAAATACAAACAGTAAATTAAACAAATTTTGTTTTTTGTTACATAGTGAAAAATTCTTCTAATAATTTAATTTTATCTGACTCATTTATATTGGCAATTCAGACATACCTACATTATGCATTTTAAAATAGACGACTTTAAAATTATATTGCCAATATTGTTGAGTTGCGCTCCTGGGACGACTTTACTTATAAGATCAACTTTAACTTGAGAATATCCGTCAGAAAAAAAATCATAGCATGTAATTCGTCTTTAAAAAGACAAACACATGACATGATGACAGTAAAATTCTCCTGTTAGTGATTCCATAGTAAATTATGAGGGAAAACCAGGAAAAAAACCTTATAATACTATCCCGACATTGTAAGTATTTGTTAGTGAATTTAGTTTACCTTCAACAAATATCAAAATTCTGATTTTATATGTTACGTTATTTAAAAAACATAAATGATGTATCCTCTATATGTTACTGACTTACTAATACTGGTATTTTCTTATTAATAACTTCCTCTTTCAATATTGGTAACCAGATCCTACTACATTCTGCCGAGGAATTTGCGACACAATTGGCCTCATTTAGCATAATTAGAGCCGCTTCTTTGATTTTTCTTTTTTTACTATCCGTTTATTTTAGGACTACATTTGAATTATTCCATTGAACCCTATGTTCATTATCCCATGCGTGTTTACAGATTTGAGATCTATCAAATTCTTTATTTTTAATATAAGATTGATGTTCACTTATTCTAACATTTAATGGCCTTGATGATTCACCTAAATAAAACTGATCGCATTCACAAGGTATTTTATAAATGCAATTCTTTGTCCTTTCTTGTTCATTGTTAGGTTTGGTTTTGGACAAAATAGATCTCAACGTGTTTGTTGTTTTAAATGTTGTTGAAATGTTGAATTTATTTCCTATCCTTTTAAGTTTTTCTGATAGTCCTTTTATGTACGGTATTGTTATTTTCCTCATATTATTCCTTGTGTATGCTGTAGGATCTCGTTCTAAGTTGTTCTGTTCTATTCGATCGATTGTTGAAAATTCCTTATTTATAAACGATAAAGGATAATCATTTTTTAATAAAACAGATGTTAACAAATGTTTCTCCTCCAAGAACGAATTTTCATTAGAACAAGTAATTTTGGCTCTATCGTATAAGGATTTAATTATTCCCTTTTTTACATTAATATTGTGATTTGATTTGAAATTTAAATATCTGTTGGTGTGTGTTGGTTTTCTATACACCTGAGTCTCATATCCAGTATCGTTCTTAGAGATTAAAACATCCAGGAAAGGTAGCGTGTTATTATATTCCTTTTCCATGGTAAATGTTATTGTCTCTTCTTTATCGTTTATATCATTTAGGAATGTGTCCAACAACTCTGATCCATGAGGCCATATTGAGAATACATCATCTACATACCTCCACCATACTGTGGGTTTGAAATTTTGTTTAGAAATGATATTTGTTTCAAAATCTTCCATAAATATATCGGCTAAGAATGGAGATAAACTAGAGCCCATTGCTAGACCAAAATTTTGTTTATAGAATTCATTATTTAGTTGAAAATATGTATTATCAGTACATAATGTTAATAACTCCATTATAGCCGATATGTTTAGTCTTGTTCTAGTTGCCAATGAATCATCACTCTCTAATTTTGTCTTGACTATACTTAAAGTCTTATTTAATGGCACATTCGTAAATAAACTATTTATGTCAAAACTTACCAAAGTATGATTTGAATTAAATTCAATATTTGATAATTTATTTAAAAAATGTTGTGTATTTTTTATGAATGTGTCATTTTTATTTGTAAATGGTTTTAAAATATTTAATAAAAATTTTGATAGTTCACTACAAGGAGAATTCATGGTACTACAAATGGGTTTAAGTGGTATATTCGTTTTATGAATTTTCGGTACTCCATAAAAATGAGGAGTCTTACTGTAATGAGGTGTAATTAATCCTCTCTGAAAACTTGTTAAAACATCTTTATACTTGAATAAAGTTCTATATATTTTGTTTTCCAAAGACTTTGTTGCATCTTTTGTTAATTTTGTATAAGGTCCGTTTATTAATAGATCTTTAATTTTATTTTCGTATTGAACTTTATCCATTATCACAGTTGCATTCCCCTTGTCTGCTGGTAGTATGATTATGGAGTCGTCATTTTTAAAGTTCTTATAGCCTTTAGTTTTTAGTTCTATTGTGAATGCGATCAGTTTTATTTAGGTGAATCATCAAGGCCATTAAGTGTTGGTCAAGAATAAGTGAACATCAATCTTATATTAAAAATAAAGAATTTGATAGATCTCAAATCTGTAAACACGCATGGGATAATGAACATAGGGTTCAATGGAATAATTCAAATGTAGTCCTAAAAGAAACGGATAGTAAAAAAAAGAAAAATCAAAGAAGGGGCTCTAATTATGCTAAATGAGGCCAATTGTGTCGCAAATTCCTCGGCAGAATGTAGTAGGATCTGGTTACCAATATTGAAAGAGGAAGTTATTAATAAGAAAATACCAGTATTAGTAAGTCAGTAACATATAGATGATACATCATTTATGTTTTTTAAATAACGTAACATATAAAATCAGAATTTTGATGTTTGTTGAAGGTAAACTAAATTCACTAACAAATACTTACAATGTCGGGATAGTATTATGAGGTTTTTTTCCTGGTTTTCCCTCATAATTTACTATGGAATCACTAACAGGAGAATTTTACTGTCATCATGTCATGTGTTTGTCTTTTTAAAGACGAATTACATGCTATGATTTTTTTTCTGACGGATATTCTCAAGTTAAAGTTGATTTCATGTAATCCAATGAACTATCTTATAAGTAAAGTCGTCCCAGGAGCGCAACTCAAGAATATTGGCAATATCATTTTAAAGTCGTCTATTTTAAAATGCATAATGTAGGTATGTCTGAATTGCCAATATAAATGAGTCAGATAAAATTAAATTATTAGAAGAATTTTTCACCAAGTAACAAAAAACAAAATTTGTTTAATTTACTGTTTGTATTTTGAGAACGATTTCCGAAGTGGAAATTGAAACGTCAATAAACGTATTTTTATCTTTAATTGTGGCTTATTCCCAGTTATAAATAGTAATTAATTTACAATGCCACAAGAAAATAGCTTCAGAACAAAATTATCAATAAGTTTACAAAAGTTTTATACTTTAGGAATATAATTAATATTAATTGATAATTATATTTTTAGCGATGGTCTCAAAGTTAGACGACAGTGTGGGAGCTATAGTAGAGGCTTTAGATAATAAAAATATAATGGCAAACACAATTGTAGTCTTCATAAGTGATAATGGAGCCGCAACTGTAGCTCCAACATTTCGAAATTGGGGTAGCAATGCCCCCCTCAGAGGAGTAAAAAATACGTTATTTGAAGGAGGTATCCGTAGTGTTGGCTTCGTTTACAGTCCCCTATTAGTACAGTCAGCAAGAGTGTCAACTGATCTAATACATGTAACTGACTGGTTGCCAACATTATTTTCTGCTGCTGGAGGAGATATTGGTATTTTGGATCAGGATTTAGATGGAATAGATCAGTGGTCAAGCTTGGTAAATATGATTTAATTATTTTTGTTTCTTTGGAAAAATAGTGTTTAGTGTAAATGGTTAACGATACCTATCTTTGCTTATGTGTATTTTGCCAATCACAATTTATTATTTTACTATTATTTATGTTAACTTTGCCTACTACCAACGTTTCGTATGGTTTTAAAATTATGTTCTTGTGACACCTTAAGCTTTAACCAATATTTTGGAAAATAAACCTTTAATTTAAAAATAACCGGTTAATTTCACATTTCCATTTCATGTGGAATGGTTTAAAGAAGTCAACCGATGGGGAACCTGAAATGCCAAATACGGCATTTATTTTAATATTTAAAACTACTGTTTTAGTAACACTTCATTTTCCCTCAAATTCTCTCAAATGCGATTTTTTTATACCCTTATGTTGTTCTCTATTCCTATTTGCCGTTGAATACATTTTTTAGTCCCAGCCTTGTTTCGAATACTGTATCGTACTTTTTATTATAGATGGACTTTATTTCACCAACACACCCCTTTAGTAAATACCATTGATAGTTCTTCTTTTTCCCCAGCTTTTCCTTTTACAAAAGTCGCTGTTCTTTACCCTTCGTAGTCACTCATATCTGTCAATCGTTTTTTTTACCCAAACCTTTCAGACTCAATCTTCTACATCACATCTTCACCTCGTTTTTTCTCTACCTCGTCTTTAATCAAATTCTAACAGCTATCCTTCGTCCCACATAGTTTTTTTTGTCTACGTCTGATATAAATAAACAATTGCAGTCTTGAATCTTTTTTTGAGACTGTAGTCAGTCCAGCTGTTTTCCTAATTAAGTCTTTCCTGTCCTGTCCTGTCTCTTCTAGTCTTACTCAATATACCCCTAGCATTTTTATTTTAGTTACCTCTATCTTCTTTTCCCGACTCTTGCGTATACTCGCCGTACAACAACGCAGGTCCCACCACTCTTTTATATCTTTCCTTATAGTCCTTCTCCAATTTTTTAATAAAAGAGTACCCCGCTCATTCGCTTTCAGTTAAACCAATCAGTATCCTGTGGTATCTAACATGTATACTGTGGACAATTTTTCGATCTAGTTTCCTATTTTTCATTATGAAGGAGCCAAGGTATTTAAATTCTCCCATGGTCATAGTCTTTCTCCAAACAATGTCCTCAAACATTACTCTTTCCCCTAACCACATATACAGTGTTTTCAACCTGCTAACCTCATGTCCTTCCTCTTCAATAGCTCTACACCAACCCTTCAACTCTCTAACAACGTTTCTTTGCCATCCTCGACCAACGCGATATCCTCAGCAAAGTCCTTTGGCGACTTGTCCCTTGCTTTAACAATTCTGTATAACCATTTCATCTCCTCAGGTGTTTTCAACTCTTCATACAGCTATGAAAACGATCTTTTGCTTAGCAGTAGGTACACGCTCTACTTTGATTCTCTCTTTGCTATCTTGTATGTATTCTTATATTTTTCTCTTTTGGACCTGTCGTACCTCTTTCCTTTTTCTTTTCCATAATCTTCTGTTGCACTTCATCGAGCCACCACTAAGTGTCTTCGTCTCTAGGAGGACCTTTACCAAATGTTTTTCGTAGCACTTCCTCTACCACGTGCACCACAACTTAGCTGCTAGCTTTTCACTAGTCATTTACCTTATCTTTTTCTTCAAGATGTTCCAGAATTCTACTCTCTTAAAGATTCTTGTCAAATCCTTATCGCTCAACTTCCACCAGTTTCCTTTCTAATGTTCCAATTAATTTCTTCTTCGTCTCACCTGTATCTCCGTATCCACTATCACCGGTCGGTGTTGATTAGTTACAAATTTACCCTTGCCACTGCAAAGCCAATCACACTATTTTCTTTATAATTTCTTATTCCCATCCCCAAACCTCCATATACTCTTTCTATTCTACTCTTCCTCTACCAATACGTCCATTTAAATCACCTCCAATTAAACACTTTTTTTTACCAATAAACTGTTTTCCATATTCCTTAATTCCATGGTTTTAGCAAGGTTTTTACTGCCGGATAACCTTCCTGGCGCAAATATTTCTCCTTTATACGGGTTTAGGGTTGGCGCTGATAGATACCGAGCTACTCAAATTACCCAGCAACTACCAGAGGCGGAGTTAAACAGTTTTGGTAATTATTGTACATGAATTCAATTTAGTGCCTACTAAGAAGCTAGGAAATAGTACTAACCACTAGCTATACCTACTACTTCTTATATATACAAGAATAATAATTACCTTCCTATCGCCCTGTTTCACATCATTATATTCTCTGTGCTGCTGAGTAACATAAATAGCAGACATGACTTCTTCTTCTTTGGGTGCCGTCTTCTTAGCAAAGGTTGGCGATGACCTCTGCAAAGTCTTCTCTATTTTGGGCTTTCCTTATTAAACTTTGAAAGTCTAATCCTGTCCAATCTTTGATGTTGTCCATAGAATTTTCAAAATACGACGAAATATATACATCTCAAAGCTCTCTAAACGTCGTAACGAGCTGACTGTTAACGTCCAACCTTCCACTCCGTGTAATAGTATACTATATACATAACACTTTATCATGCGGTATCGTAGTGACAAATCAAGATTACAGGTAGTGAGTAACTGTCGCATCTTTAAGAAGGTGTTTCTTGCTTGTTCTATTCTACATTTAACCTCTTGTTCTTGGTCTAAGGTTTCATGTATCCAAGAGCCTAGATACTTAAACTTTTTCACTTGTTCAACTAAATTTTTGTTGACTAGTATGTTTATAACTGGTGTATGTTTTTTTTTAAATTACTATTGTTTTGGTTTTTTTACATTCACCTTAAGATCGTATAGTTCTCCTTCTCGCACTACTTTGGTTAACAGAATTTGTAGTTCTCTTTTATAGCCAGCAATCAGTACTGTATCATCGGCATACCTGATATTGTTCACGATTTTTCCATTGACTTTTATTCTTTCTTGTGCTTCATCTAGAGCATGTGCAAATATGTCCTCTGAGTACAAGTTAAATATTAATGGTGATAGTATGCAACCTTGTCTGACTCCTCTTTCGATGTTTATGGTTTCAGTATCACCCATTTAAGTTCTGACAGAGGCGTTTTGTTGCAGTAGAGTTCACGTATTGTGTTAATGTCGTTTGGATCCAGGTTATTTTTTTGCAGACATGACTACGCACTTCATTTTGGTCAGTTAACATAATATAACCTTACTATTATAAAATTTTTTGTATTTTGAGAACGATTTCCGAATTGGAAATTGAAACGTCAATAAATGTATTTTTATCTTTAATGTGGCTTATTCCCAGTTATAAATAGTAATTAATAAAATTTCAACTGTCACATAAACGAATTTTAAACTTTTGGATTTCTATTTGCTTTCAAATAATCATTAAGTAGCAGCAACGAAATAAGAAAACTAAATGAACCAAATTAACAACTGGACAAAGCAGTTATTATTCACTAATAAATGGAGTCATTCCATCCCAGTCACAATAAATGATTCTGACTGGAAATGCGACTGAAAGTTTGGATTATTAATAATTTTCAATATTTTTCTCACAATATTATTTTGGTTGCGGATATTTGTGACTCTATGTGGCTTAGAACCAAGAGCCATATGAGTGAATTTTCGCAGAGATTATGCGTGTAGTCTGATTCAGGCTATCTATTTTATAAATAGACAATAAATATGAAGACTATTTTATCAGAATAATGCACAGTAGCCTGTTGTAAGTAAAGAAAACAATATTCGAGACCGTAGTTCTGAGCGTAGAGGATTCCTTTTTCCAGATCGGTATAACATGTTTCTCATGACAGTATTTCACATGCACACTTTTGATGCTACATTTTTTAGATCTAATGGAGACCAATATCTACTCATTTAAGCTTGCTAGGTGAGTTTCTTAGTAATGTTTGTATTCGGTACTTCAATAAATGAACACCAAGCATTCTTAGTCTTATTTGAGGACCAACGAATACTTTAGCTTTCAGTTTTTCAATACTTATTACAAAAAATTTACATGACAAGTATCCAAAACATTGTCGATCTTGATCTTAAACCTTTAAAAATTGTTTTATATGCCAAAAGTCCCAACCTGATATGTAAATGTGGTAATATAATTATTAATCTAGCAACCTTAGGTTCGTTGATTATGTTTTATTTTCCTTGAATCATAAGATTTCATAAAGGCCAACATTTTTTTAATCTAGTGCTGATTTTTTGTTCTGCTGTCACAAAGATATAAAAATAAGAATGTTTTTATATCTTTTTTTGCTGTCCAAGGAGACGGTTCAACATTTTTAAATCCACACAAATTATTACCCACAGATGTTTTTGTACTTATTTTTTTTTTCAGCACATATGATATGATTTGATATTTTTCTTTTATACTGGTAAAATGATCCAAATTTATTACTATTGTGTAAAAGGGCATATTTGAAACTTCCTTTTGTACTGTCGATAAAAAGGCATCATTCATTTGGTGTGTATTTCAATAAACTCTTTTTTTCCAACAGTTCTTTTATATCGTTACTAAAATGTTATATTAGTACTTAAACGTTGTAGATTTTTTCTTTTAATCTGGAGGCAAATAATTCAAAAGTCTCCTTGGATATGTTTAGGTCTCAAGGTAATTCAATTTTTGTTGATTGGCTTTTGACGTTGTTGACGATGTTTCTCTGACATCTTCTGGTAGTGTAGGTAGACTACTAAATGTTAGAATAGGTATTTTTTCAAAATGCCTTAAAAGTTGGAAACAGGTTCTATGTTTTATTTCAAAATATATTAATAACAATATTTTTTATAACTTTATTACAGTGCTATAGGCAAATTTAAAGAATGAAATATTGTAAATATTTTATATTACGAAAATTTCTCAGAATTTTTATGCTTACTTAATATGTAATCTGTAAATCTTTTTAACACGCATATTTTTTTTAAATGCTGTATAGGAAATTAATAAACGTAAAGAAGGAAGTATTAATACTAAAACCTTACTCGTAATCCAAAAGATTACTTTAATTATATATTGTTTCAAGGTTTATGATCTACCGTCTCCACGAAACGACATCTTATTGAATATAGATGAAAAAACAAGAAATGCTGCGCTTAGATTTTATAACTGGAAACTAATTGTAGGTAAGTCAATTAAACAATTAAATTATTACTCATCTTACACGGTTTTTTACTCGGCCGAATGAAATACGATGACAGCCAAATTCGTAAGAAAACACTATATTAAAAGTCTAGTAATATACCAGCGCATCATTTCCGTGTTTTTAAATATTACTGCGATGAATTACAGAAACTTTAAAATTCTTCTGATTATGTAAGTTTTAACTAGAAAATTTCTATTCTTCAAATGTGTACAACACAGTATAATTTTCAAAGTTTTAACGATGAAAGCACGGTATTTCTTTATCAGAGGCGCCTTGACAGCAAACTATCAAATGCGGAAGAATGCACCTTTTATGAAATCTATGATAACGTTATGGAAAGTCTAAGAAATGCCACCAGAGAAGCAGTAGGAATAAAGGCAAAGGAGATCAACAAAAAATACTGGTCGAACGAGGAGATAGAGTTACTAGTTCAGGAAAAGAAACAAAAATATTTAAAATGGTTGGCAACAAAAAATGAACAAGATCTGGAAGATTATAAACAAACAAAAAGACAATTAAGAGCGGGCATTAATTTAGCTAAGAACGAGACGTGGGATAAGAAATGTGAAGAAGTTAACAATTATATCGGAGGAAGGAAATGCTCGGAGGTATGGAAATTTATATCAAATGTCAAAAACCAAGCAAGGGACAGAGCAAATATCCAGATAATCAAACCGGAGCAGTGGATACTACACTACAAAGATCTACTACAAGAAACTAGACAGAAATACATGATAGAATCTCCAAAACATTTTGTAGTAAATGGAGAAGAAGTAGAGGTATCCGAAGAAACAGTAAAAAAGACAGTTTTGAACCTTAAGTTAGGGAAAGCTACCGGTCCAGAAGGGATTTTCTCCGAAATGTTAAGATGGGGAACGGAAAAACTCTTTAGAAATCTAACAATAATTATCAATAAATGCCTAAATGGACATTCTGTTTCAGAATACTGGAAAACAGCTTATATATCGATGGTTTAAAACACAGATATAGTATGTCCAAATATCTTAATTGTTGAGAAAAACGTTTTGAAGTTTTCGCTTTATTTTTTGATTGGTACTGGTAATATATTGATATATTATAATTTTTGTGTAATAATTTCGGTTATCATTATTAGCTTAATGTAGATAATTTTCAAAATATTATATGTTATTAGGTTAAAAAATCTATTTTTTGAAAATTTGTATGGACATACAACATAATGGTTCTTACTGTTTGGACATACAACATGTAACCTAGATTTAAAATAATGAATTTGTTAAAGTTCTCTTTTATTTTATGCTTTATTTGTTAAAAAATAGTAGGTAGAACACAAAAGTAATATATTTTATTCGTAATCATCTTCTTCATCTTCAGGGGTCCGCCAAGGTACAAGATCTTTTGTTTTTTTTGATGTAGGAAGACTTTCCACATACGTTATATAAACTGCTGGTATAATCTCCTTATTTAGTAAATACAACAACAAGTCTTTCTTTTTTTGCTCAGATATGAAAAGTCTTTTTTGATATTTGGATTTTAGCTTGACATCTGTCCATGTAACTTGTGTAACTTGTTTAGTATGTCTTTTGTTTTGTATGACATCAAACTCTAAAAAATGTTCATCAGTCAATGAATATTTATATTGAATAACAAATGGCCTTGTTTTTTGAAACCGGAACCACTTAACCTGAAGCCATTTTATTGGATCACCTAACGCATTAGTTTTCCTATTTTGCATTATAAGTGATGCAAGATTCTGCAGGTCATAAAAATCTGAATGGTTGAGTTTATGTACGTCATAGGGTTTTGGTTTGTGTCTTGCCATGCTAATCAAAAGTGCCCATTCTTCGGTGGTGAATATCTTTTTGTGCTTACGAGCATGCTCAATTGTTGCATGAATTGAGTCAGCTTCTAAATAAGAATGGCCAGATTCCATAAACTTAAGGTCGATCGTTTTAAGATTATCAATTTTTGCAACAGCGTATAGCATTGCAGCACAAACAAACTGGTTGCGGTTTTGCCCACCACATGTGTCTGAGAAAGTGGCTACATGTTCAACGGTTTCTGGCAAACTATACAGATATTTTAAAAGGCATGTGCCTATCTCTGAGGCACCTTTGGAACCCTCGGTTTCATCCCAGACATAGCAGTGACCACTTTGATCAAATGAATCATAAATGGTAAAATTAAAAACTGAAAGTTTCCGTTTGTAGTAAATCTGAGAATCTGCAGAAAACGGCACTGTCAAAATTGCTTCTAAGTCAAACGTGATCGCTCTATAATTGACTCCTTTTACTTCAATAGCTTTCTGCTTGTCTGCTTTTTTCATTGTCATGGCTTCTTCTTCCCTTTGCTTATGGAGATTCCAATTATTTTCCAAAGAAGATTTGTCTGAGGCATTATAATAAACGTTGCAAGTAGAACATTGATCTTTTTTGGGAATATGAAACGATAGCTGAGGATCATACTTCTTAAAAATGGATCTATAAACGTTTATGGAAACGGGTATAATTTTTTCCTTAGAGCAATATTCATCTTTGTACAATCTGTACATAATAGAAAGGTTTAAGTCAGAAGATAAATAAAGTTTCTTTGTATCGCGACGACTATAATGCGATTCCATTTTAGGAAAACTGTCTATATGAATTGTCACGTGATTTTTAGCTGCGTCGGGTGTAATGTTAGCTGGAACTTTCCCTTTTCGCCCATCGCAACCTACGTAAGCCCCTCCTGGACCACGTTTTTTTAATGCCAAATCAACTACCTGAAAGCTAATACTAAACGTTGCACAAAAAAATTTGAGACACACTCTCTGTGTTTCCCCACTGGTGTCACATAATGTGTAAACACGCGATGTTGATTTTGAAATATTGCTTTCAGGGTTACGTTTTCTGTGTCTAGCTACATTTCTCTCTGTAACTAAAGAACACAAGTGCCCCTTTTGTCGATCAGAATCAGCCAGTGCCCAATATTCTTGATGCAAAATACTCTGACGTTCAGGAGGAATTTTTGTTGAGCATTTAAATCTACATCTTGAGCAGTCAATAATATGTTGAATACGCTTTTCAGGAATAATTTCTTTTTTGCTATTTGTATAACTTTTACCACACATTCTTTTTTGTTTACGAATATTCCTTTCCCATGTTTCAGGTTGTGCATGACGTTTGCGGCTTTTTTTTGTTTTTGTCTCTATATTCATTAAAGTAGAATTTGTTTCTGAAGGCAATGGAGAAGCATTCGCTTGGTTATCGAAGTCATTGTCAGTTGAAACGTCTAAGTCTGCTGGGATAAAATCAGGGTCTGATAAATATTCAGTGGCTTTCACTTCATTTTGAGGAATACTATGGTCTTCATTGTTTTCTTGTAAAGCAGTATTTGTAATAACAGAAATATCTTCATTTGATTGAAGATATGGAACAGATTGGACTTGTTGCAAATGTAACCAAGAAGTTTCCTGTGCAGAAACAGCTAGTGAGTTTTCAGGTAGACTAAACTTTCCTAAAAAATAGTACATATCAAAATAAAGCATATATTTTTTAAACTGACAAAAGTTACCATCAGCATCTTCTCCGTATGAATTATATTCTATGGGTTTGGATAACTGGACAACATTTTGAATCTGTGCAATTGTATTCATACAGTTTTCTTCCACCGAAAAAATGTTATCAATGAGACAATTAGTTGTTGAATGATAAATGGAATTATCTTCATTTCGTTCAAGTTCCTCTAAACAGAAAAAGAAATACTAATATTATTTAACTAATATAAACACCCAACACAGGTCTTACCAAAGGGAATAATCATGATGTCATCACAGACTTGGAAACAACTTTCCTCATTTTCTTTGCAGCTTTCCATTGCCGGATTATCTCTAGTGTCACACGTTACCTCTAACAAAATATAAAATTAACGTAATTACGGGATACCGCGAAAACTAAATTTATTTTGTTATACAAATTATTGATCTAACAAGATGTTTAGCTAATAGTATAAAAATATTTATCAAAGAAGTAAGGTTAAACCGGTAAAATAATTATTTATGTCTTTAGTATACTTCTAGTACATTCTTCCTAAATAATTTCTAAAATAAATCACGTAGCATTGTAGTCGTTATTAGGTAAGTACGGCCCATTTTCTTAAAAATACAGTACCTATGTATACAAAGAAGCAATCAATAGATACCTGATGTTCTTGTTGTTTCGCATCCTTTTTTTGCTAATTCCACTAAAAGTTTAGCACGTTTAGACATTTTGATAAAATCACTACTTGTTTTAAGTTCACTAATCACACAAAACAGTATTACCTTATTATTCGAACGTAAAAACAGAACTGCTATTAGATTACCGAAAGTCGTTATAACTGATTAAGAGACAGACATACGAAAACTATTTGCAAACTATGCACAAACATGATATATTTATGTTACAACGTTATCAGCTTGATTTCAAATCATAAAGAGCACAAATATTGCATGTCCGGACAAACAATATTTACAGCCATAATAAGTTTGATCATATGAGCACTAATATTGTATGTCCAAAACATACTATGTTTGTGCACTTCCAACGGACATAATATGTCTGTGAAGTCGATTTTTAGTACAAATGGGAAATACTATATTTAGGCAAGGCGGTTTAAGGTATTTACAATCATTTTTGACTTACAATAATTGTGCAGAACATTCATATGACCCTACTGAATATGTCTATGGTGATATCTTAAAATCAGCAAAAAGTGGACATACTATGTTTGTGCTTTAAACCATCGATATCATCCATCCATAAAAAAGGAAATAAACTGGACTGTAACAACTATCGAGGCATATCAATCACGAGTACACTGAGCAGACTATACAGTAGAATACTGCGAGATCTAATTGAAGAAGACTATAAAGCGAAAGAAGAAGAAGATCAAAGCGGCTTTAGAGCAGGTAGATCGTGTACCGACAACGTATTTTGTCTAAAACAAGTCATAAAGAACAGATCTGCTAGACATCTGTAAACC